GCGTAGACGTGGAACGTACACAAGTTGAAACCTGAATCCCCTTCAACATTGCGGGAGATAACTAGTCATTCCCCATAACTTATTTTCGAAAGAGTTCAATGGCACCACCATAACAACTATAACTCTTGGGATTTTACAGCCCCAGATGCGACGTAGCCAAAGAGTTGGGAATGGGCTTTAACGGTCATGATGATTTTTCGATGGAATTCCAGATCAGTTTCATGCAGTTCAAGGATCCGACCGACACCACGCTCCAGGACATTCAAGAATTATTTAGTTTTGCCGAATTGTGATCGCAAGATTTTTTCCATTTTTATACCCTCAACCATATGGCTACAGAGAGTATATATCATTTAATAGGTCAAAATGTGTCTCATTTAAATAACGGGACCAAATCCGTTTCAGGCATTTAGAGTCGATCGAGGGGTGTCCGTCGGTCTGTCTGGCTGGTGCGCACGATAACTCAAGAAAGAAGTATCCGAGTGTCCAAACTTAGTACATTGTAATACTATTGCCAAACTTAGATCAAGTTTGTAGATTGGCAACATCGGCCCACTCCTTTTGGTACCTCCCCCGCAAAAGGTCAACATTTTCACTGATCATAACTCTTAGAAAAAGTGAAATAAGAGTCCGATTGTCTTCAAATTTCACACAACCCAATATTACTAATAACACAAGAACTGATGTGAAGATGGTATATATCTGCCAAACCCCTTCTGGTACCTCCCCCGCAAAGGGTCAAAATTTTGAATATTTATAACTTTTATGAAATATGAAATGAGAAACCGATTGTCTTAAAATTGCACATATTCTAATATTTTTACCAGCACAAGATCTGGTGTGAAAATGGTGTATATCGATCTACTCCTTCTGGTACCTCCTCCACAAAGGTTCAAAATTTCAAATAGCCATGAAACTAAAAAGACGCAAAATGAGCATCCGATTCCTTTCAAACTCAGCATATCGTAATGATTCTACAAATACATGATCTGTTGTGAAGATGGAATATATCGGACGACTCCTTCTGGTACCTCTCCTCAAATGTCATACATCCCAATATTTCTATCAACACAAGATTTGGAGTGAATCTGGTAGAAGGGTCCAATTTTAAATATTTATTGTTATTATATCGTTCCACGATATCGTATATATAAAGGAGCTCACCAATATTCGGTAATTTGATGATTTTAGCCACTTTTTTTCAATAGAATTGTCAGAAAATCCGAACAAAGAGTTCCTTCTGAGTACTTTACCCCCTGGAAACAGTGGTCTAAATATCGTATATCCCATATATTACGACTCCTCACTTTATTCGGTATTTTGATGAGATATTTTTTTCCGGAATTTCTTTAATTTTGAAGAAATTAGCGACATTTTTACCGGTATAGTTTCAAATTTCATATTTAAACTTCGTAAAGGGTTCTACAGCCTATATCAAAGATTTCTTATTCAGGAACACGTCTTCGTATAGCCCCCATATAACGGGTTTCCTTTAAGCGCTATTTTTCGACGAAATTTTTGGAGGTATTTCAGGTTGCTTCAAAATGGTATAGGGTATTAAAAGTTCGGACCGACTACACTTAGCTGTTTTTATACCCTACACCACATAGTGGTTAGGGTATTGTGTCTTTGTGCATTTGTTTGTAACATGGAGAAGGAAGCAAGATCGTTACTTTTGAAGATCTTCATAGAATCACTTTCTGAGTCGATTTATGTATGTCCGTCCGTCGTCCGTCTATATATTTTTGTAAACAAAATGCAGGTCGCATTTATTATCCGATTGAGGTGAAATTTTGCAAACAATATTTGTTTGGCGCAAGGAAGAACCGTATTGAAATGATAATCGGATCAGATATTGCTATGGTCCCCATATATATGTTTTATCCCAATTTGGGGTTTAAAATCCCTCACAAACGCAATATGCTTTCCACAACAATGATCTTTGGTACCAGATATCAGATACAGCTCTGAAATAAGTGTATACAATTTTGTCAAGATCGGTTTAGATTTGGATATAGCTCCCATATATATCCTCAACCGAGTTCGGGTAAATTGTGCACCAAATGTCTAATATCAGCCCAAATTGACTGAATTTCGGCATATCCGACCGAATTCAATCTAGAAACAGGTACATGAACTTCATTGAAACTCGGTTCAGATATAGCTAAAGCTCCCTTATATATGTTTCATCTGATTTGGTGTTTAATATCAGCCCAAATGGAGTGAATTTCGGGACGCATGTTTCCATTTTGTGCAACTCGGCTCCGATAAATATTTTTTATACCCTCCACCATAGTATGGAGGGTATATTAAGTTTGACATTCCATTTGTAACACCTCGAAATATACATTTTAGACCCCACAAAGTGTATATATATTCTTGATCAGCATAAAATTCTGTGTCGATTTAGCGATGTCCGTCCGTCTGTTCGTTTATCCGTCTGCCCGTCTGTGGAAATCACTCTAGCATCCGAACGAATTGAAGTAGTTTAATAAAATTTTACTCAAATGTATTTTATGTCTGCAGGACTTTTGGTATTGAAATTTTTTCAAATTTGGTATTTAATGTTCGCAATGGATACCACAGCCTAAGACAGAAATTTTTCTGTGCTGGTTCACGTCTTCGTACAGCCCCCATATAACAGTACCTCCCGATATTCGGTATTTTGATGATTTTAGCGACATTATTCACTGGAATTCTTTCAAATTTGGTATTTGAAGTTCGTAATGGACACTACAGCCTAAGACAGAAAAACGTCCGTGCTGGTCCACGCCTTCTTATAGCCCCCATATAGCGGTACCCCCCGATATTCGGTATTTTGATGATTTTAGCTACATTGTTACCGATTTTTTTTTTAAGTTTCGCATTTGAATATTGTAATGGTTTATGACAAATGTTACCTACACAGGACCATGTCGTCATATAGACCCTAATATAATAGCTACATTTGGCATTTTTAAGCTTTTAACAGAATTTTTAAGAGGTTTTATTGTTTTTGAGAATTGCCAAATTCGTTCCAAATGGTGGAGGGTATTCAAAGCGCGGCCCGGCCGAACTTGCAGCTTTTTTACTTGTTTAATATAATCGTTGTAGTTTAACATCGTGCGCTCTATAGCAAACTATAACTGTTCTAAAGCCAAATATTGATAAGTGGTTTGATCTTCTTGAAATAAATGTATGGTGTAGAGTATCATATAGTCGGCACTGCTCGATTTTTGACTTTTCCTTACAGGTTTCCTATTAGTGTATATTCTTCTTTAAAATAACACTTCATACACATTCAGTCGATTTAGCCCCATCGAACCTAATGTTCATCAAAATTTAATAGAACATACAACAAAAAAAAAAACCGACAAGAGATATTCACTTTTTTATTGGTATATTTTTCCGCGATTTTCTCAGATTTTATCGTTTTCTGGCAAGAGACCATTCCAAATTGATTTATAAGCAGAATAAATAAGAGCAATTCTTTTACATATATATTTTACCTATTCTTCTATATATCGGATTTCTTGGCTATTAGCATCACTGTAATGGTCAGAAGTGATCTTTTAATGTATTTGTGATTTGGCTGGGGTTGAAAATATTCGCAGCTTAGTGGACATTTTCCTATTTTCTTACAAAAAAGTTAGGGTATATTTTACCCGCTAATTATTGTCCGCCCAAATTGGTAGGATTCTGCCCACTCCTAAACTCTAACTCCATGTAAATTTTCGCGTCGATTGGTTCATAATTATGGCCTATAGAGCAACTGCAAAATCAGGAAATTTGTATATTTTTGGTCCATTTCAACTTCTAAATATCGTGCGATCATCTCCAAAAACAATAGGGTTCTATTCTGACCATAACCCCACCTCCATTTTCAATTTCGTGAGGATCGGTTCATAATTGCGACCTGCAGCTTGATTACAAATTAACATGGACAGACGGACAGACGGACAGGCGGACATACATAGCTAGATCGACTCATCTCGGCGAGATAAGAAGATCCATATATACTTTCCTATGTGGGAAACCCATATTTCGAGGTGTTACATAATTTTAGGGCCAATCAAACTTATAATACCCCCAACACATAGTGCTGAAGGGTATAAAAATATTGGCATGCGCTGAGAATTGAACAATACTTAGGGGCCAAAATTGATTAAGAAATTTTGTGCGTAAATATCTATCGGCATTGACGAATGTCTTCTTCTAACCTGCTGTAATAATTATTCATCTAATGGATATATGACCGAGAGCGGTGTAATAATTGTTTATAATCCGTCCATTATCTTGTCTTAGAATACTTGAGTAATGGTGTTAATGCCTTCTTTAAGAAGAGTTCGACATACAAATTAATGTAACACATTATCTGCACATGTTAGGCTCCGAGGTGCTTCTGTTTTAATTGCTACAACAATCACAAGCATGTGTGTATAATGATGCCCTTCGGTTGAAGATGGTAGCCTAAATTGTTTTGTCTACAGCTATTTCGTCTGGGTTTTTGGTTTTATTTTTACAATATTTTAACATTCATGTGGTCGGTCCATTTGTGCTCACGACCCAGGTTAAATAATCATTAAAATAACCTCCGTAAACAATTGATGGTGCTCCAGTTGAAGATGTTATCGCCCAAAATGAATCAAACAACAAAAGTGGTAACAAACAAAAGCTATTTATAATATTTTTTTAAATTTTTCTTCCAACACGCTTACCACTTAAGCAGATGTATTGAAAAGCAACAAATAAAACAAAAAATAACCAAAAACACCCGAACTATACAAAATCGCCAAATTGCTTGTAAACGGATGTCCATCATCATTTGTTTTGGAAAAAAATAAAAAAAAAAAAATATATTGTCGTTGAAAATTTTGTAAATTTTGCAAAGTGTGAATGTCTGCCTGATTTCGCACGATAATTTGCATAACAATTTCCCCCCTCACCATCAGAAATAGATAGACATTTTTTTTTGCTTTTTGTTGTAGCAAATAATTTCGTTTCGTTTTATTTTAACCGAGTTTTGTAGCCATCAACATTTGATTCGTAATTCAAAAAATTTTTTTGTTTACAAAGTTTTAACTGGTTTGTTATAGAGATAACCACCGTTTTCTTTGTCGTAAACAGTTTCGCTGTTGGTGGCATCACGCAGGCTCAGGTCACCATTTTGAGCTTGGCTGTCGGAGTTGTTGTTCTCCTCCTTAATTTGTTCGGAAAAGAAGTTACCAAAACCTGGGAAAGCATTGGGACGAGGGAAACCATTAAAACCGGGATTGACAAATCCTTGGCCGGGATAACCGAAATTCTGACCTGGGAAACCAAATCCAGGGAAACCACCTTGTCCGGGGAAACCTTGGCCAGGGAAACCAGGATATGCTGGATATGCCGCTGGGAAGCCACCAGGAACAGCACCAGGGAAATTGCCGCCGGGGAAGCCACCGGGGAAAGCACCAGGGAAACCGCCGGGGAATGGACCTTGTCTCAAATTCAATGTTGGCAATTCAATGTTGTTATTTTCAATTTCATCGTGTTGCGGTTCAGGAATTTGAGGTACATCCTCCTCAATCTTGACACTTGGAGTTTGTACCTCCACAATTGGGGTTAACTTGGTGGTAGGTTCTTGAACACTAACAAACTGGGACACACTAGGCTCCTCAGCTGGTGGCAGGTATTCGCGGTTTACGGCAACAGCCATCTTGGGTGGCAAATATTCCCGCGACAATTCCTTAACATCGGCCGCAGCCAAGGCCACCAAAACTCCCAAAATAAACAGACGAGCACCCTATTCCAAATGGAAAACAGCCAAAACAATAAATTATTCATTTCAAAGTTATCAAAATATTCCGCCACTCACCATTTCGCTTAACTTTTCCCACTGCCAAACTATTTCGAATTAAAAACTTTCATCTTGGACATCATCTTTATATATGTCTTCATCGTTCTCCTCATTTCTCTCTCCATTGCCATTCTAAGCGTTCTTTTTAGACATTTATTTGTCTCGCCAAATGGAAAACTTTCTTTCATTCAGCGATTCATCCCGACTTGATTGATGGGCGGCATGAGTCAAGAAGCATCATCATCATCATCATGATCATCATCTTTGCCAATTGGTCAGCGGGAACTCCTCAACTTTAGCACATCTATTGCTCTAATGGGTTCATTAACAAAATAGAGGCGGTATTGAGACAAAAAATAGACCATATTCCAAAAAAGACCAACACCAAAGTCGCAAACAATAGACAGAGCATAAAATCATAAAGCCCATCTTTTGTTTTGGTCGTTGCTCCAAGCCACACCGTTTCTCCCCATGTTAAGAAATTAGTTTAGAATTCAGTGTTTATGTGTTTGAATTAATTTCAATTTTAAGGGAAAAAAACTAAAAACCAGTTATGTGGAGCACAAAAAGTGATGACCACTTGGAAAGGGAACTAATTTTGTGATAAAAGATGGCGAAGTTTTTATACCCTCCACCATAGTATGGTGGGTATATTATCTTCGTCATTCCGTTTGTAACACCTCTAAATATACAATTTAGACCCCACAAAGTATATACATTCTTGTGATCAGCATAAAATTCTATGTCGATTTAGCGATACCCGTCCGTATGCAGAAATCACTCTAGCTTTCAAACATATTGAAGTAGATTGATAAAATTTTACTCAAATGCATGTTATGTCTGCAGGACCTTTGGTATTGAAAATGGGCTATGTAGATCTACGTTTTCGTGTAGCCCCCATATAACAGTACCTCCCCATATTCGGTATTTTGGTGATTTTAGCGACACTATTCATCGGAATTGTTAAAAAATTTGGTATTTGACGTTCGTAATGGATTCTACAGCCTAAGGCAGAAAATTGTCTATGCAGGTCCACGTCTTCATATAGCCCCCATATAACGGTACCTCCCCAGATTCGGCACTTTGTTGATTTTAGCGACATTATTCACAGGAACTGTTTCAAATTTGGTATTTGAAGTTCACAATGGATACTACAGCCTATGACAGGAGATTGTCTGTGTAGGTCCAGGTCTTCGTATAGCCCCCATATAACGGTACCGCCCGATATTCGGTATTTTGATGATTTAAGCGTCATTATTCACCGGAATTGTTTCAAATTACGTATTTAGAGTTCGTAATCGAAACTACAGTCTGTGACAAAAAATTGTCTATGCAGGTCCAGGTCTTCGTATAGGCCCCATATATCAGTACCTCCCTATATTCGGTATTTTGACAAGTTTAGGTACAACACCCACCCAAGTTGTTTGAGATGTCGTATTTGAAGTTCGTAATGGATGCTACAGCCCGTGACAGAAAATTGTCTATGCTGGTCCAGGTCTTCGCACAACTCCGATATAACGGTACTTCCCTATATACGATATTTTGATGATTTTAGTTACATTATTCACCGTTAATTTCAAGTTTCGAATTTGAATATGGTAATGGCTTATGATAAACAATGCCTGTGTAGGTACACGTCGTATAGACCCCAATATGACGGCTATATTCGGCATTTTTCAAATTTTAACAGAATTTTTTAAAGATTTTATTTTTTGAAAATTTCCAAACTCGTTCCAAATGGTGGAGGTTATTCAAAGTTCGGCCCAAGTTTTTTAAATTGTATTGAATGAAAGCAAAAAATATCGGAAATAGGATCACAGTTTAGAATTAGCTTATATTTGTTCGAAGTGGTCACCAATGGCACGAATTATGACCTTCAAACGGCCAATGAAACCGTCACACGCTGCCCGAATGTTGCTCTGCGGTATTTTGGCCCATTTTTGGCCCATTGGTGGTCATTGTGCGCTGAAAATGAAGCGAGGAACCTCATTTTATAACCATTATTGGATGGCGCGTGTTGAGTGCGACGGTGCTGAGTCTTGTTGAAATGTCCAAGGTCTGCGGCCAAAATGTTTGCGTGCCCAAGACTTTAATACACCCTCCACAATAATTTCGCATTTATTTTGATGCCACGGTCGATTAATACGAGCGGAGAGCGACCATCGGCTGTTATGGCGGCCCACACCATCACCACGACCGGCGCTTGAGTTCTGGTAGCCAACCGAAGGTGCACATTTTCAGCTGACCTCTTTGGCAAGTAAACACGATAATTTTGTTGTTTTGGAGAAAACCAAATTCGGCAGTTCACCACATTCGGCCAAGCGGAGCAACTATTTAGCTCTTTTGAGTCCATTTTCTTTCTCTTGTGGTGTAAGTTCTTGCACTTTTTGGAATTTTAATGGTTTTACCCCGAGCTCATTTTTCAATGTTTGGGGAATGGAATATTGCGATATGATCAGCTCACGAACCATTTTTCGGCCACTGAGACGCTGGTTTCGATCCAGTCGCTTCTTTACTTTTCGAACCATTTCTGCTGATGTTGCTGTTTTCTTCCGTCTACTTCTTCGACGTCGGGCTACGCTACCAGTATAACGGTAACGAGCGATGGTACAAACAGACAAAAATTATTTATTCACATTTAACTGCTAGAGTGCTCTAATGATTGTCTTTTGTCGTTTTCTAGCCAAATATAAAGAAAACACACTATCATCACGAATAACTTTTTTCTGGAAAATTCTAACCAATATGCTTTTGTACGCTTGTAAACAATATAATGAGCCGTCACTGGAATTGTTTTAATGCCTGTCAAACGAGTAGCTAAGAAATGACAGCAGTCTGAAGTTGGTTGCAGTTTTTTTTTATCTCACACTGTATGTTTCATCCGATTTTTTTGTTTAAGTCCCTCAAATTCGTTATATCTATTCGACAACAATGATATTTGTTATCAGATATCTTATAGAATTCGGAAATACCTTTGGCAAATTTTTCTGAGATTGGCAAAGATTTGTATATAGTTCCTAAATATCCTTAATTCGATTTCAAGTTTATTGTGCAAATAATGGCTAATATCAGCCTGAATGGAGTGAATTTCGGGACGTACGTTTCCATTTTATGCAACCAGGATCCGATATATATTTTTTTTAATATAATCCTTCTACAAGTGATATCATGCACTCTATAGCAATCGATTACTGCTCTAAAGCCAAATATTGATAGGTGGTATGATCTACTTCAAATAAATTCTTTTATTACGGGAACTCTACTAAATATTTTCCTATCTGGTTTTCTACCCATTTTAAATATAAAATATCAAATTCCTACTAAAGCCAGCTTTTTTTTGGAGCCCTTGTTAAAATGTCGTAAAGAGATAGCTTTTTATTAGCTATTTTCTTATACTTTATACAAAACCACCACTTGACATTTACCATACTCACCACATTACAAAATTAAAAACATTATAAAATTGAAGGCATATTTTTAGGCTGATTATAAAATTATGTTATGGTATTAACATTTGTCAGTGCGTCGCTGTTCACGCTGTTGTATTTATGATATCCAACTATTTAAACAAAAGACTTAAGACACAAGCAATCATCGGACTAACAGAATAGATTGAAATCAGTTTTTCAACCAAATTATATATCTTAATGAATTTTCTACTTAGCAACAATTTTAAATCGAAGTTGTTGTAATGACGATTTTATGGTTCTCTTTTATTACTATATAAGATTACGATAGATTGGCTTAACCCAAAAATTATAATTTTAGAGGGACGACGTCAAATACTTATCAAATTTCACTATAAGTCTACAAAGAAAAGAACTCAATATTTTTATACCCTCCAGCATACATAGCATGGAGGGTATATTAAGATCGCCATTCCCTTTGTAACTAATCGAAATAAAATTTTTAGACCTAACAAAGTATATATATTCTAGATCAGCGTAAAATTCTAATACGATTTAGCCCTGTCCGTCCGTCCGTCTGTTTTAATCACGCTGGAGTCAAAAGGAATTATGATAGGAAACTAACATTTTGCAAAGATCTGTTTTCTGTTGTGTGCAGGCAGGTCCAGTTCGAATTTTCCAGCAAAACAAGTTATTTGTGATAGAATTCAAGCCTGATTTCTTTATATTTGGCTGGAAACCCACAAGTGGCTTTCGTTAGAGCACTTCAGCATTTAAATGTGAATAAATCTTCTGTGTCTCGTACCATCGCTCGTTACCGTGATACTAGTATCGTGGCCCGATGTCAGGGAACTGGACGGAAGAAAACGCCAACATCAGTAGAAATGGTTGGAAAAGTAAAGAACCGACTTGATCGAAACCCGCGTCGCAGTGGCCTTTCAGCTCGGCTCGTGAGCTGAACATATAGCAATATTCCATTCAGCAAATATTGAAAAATGAGTTCGGGGTAAAGTCATTGAAATTCCAAAAAGTGCAAGAACTTACACCGCAACAGAAGGAAAAAAACTCAAAAGAGCTGAAAAGTTGCTTCGCTTGGCCGAAAGTGGTGAGCTGCCAATGAGAAAACATTCGTTGTCCAGCAGTTTGTAAACAAAGAAAATGATCGTGTTTACTTACCAAAGAGGTCATCTAAAAATGTGCACGGAGGCCAACCGAAGCCTCCAGAACTCAAGCGACGGCCATGGTGATGGTGTGGGCCGCCATAATAGCCAATGGTCGCTCTCCGCTCGTATTAATGGACTGTGGCATCAGAATAAATTCTTGATATTATTGCGAAAATATTCCGAAGGGTGTATTAAAGTCTTGGGCGTTTGTTGGTGGACATTCCAATAGGACTCAGCACGCGCCACCCAAGAATGGTTACATTCTCGCTTCATTTCCAGCGCACAATGGCCACCAAAATTTCCAGATAACAATCCCTTGGACTATTGTGTCTGGAGTATTTTGGAAAGCAAGGTTGGCATTAAAAAATATCAAAGTGTCGATCACCTGAAGCAAGCGCTTCTCTGGAAATGGGCCAAAATACCGCAGAGCAACACTCAGGCAGCGTGTGACGTTTTCATTGGCCTTTTGAAGGCCACAATTCGTGCCAAAGGTGATCAATTCGAACAAATCTAAACTTATTCTAAAATTTGATGCTCTTTCCGACATAATTTGCTTTCATTCAATAAAATTAAAAAAAAATTAAAAGTTATGGCGTTTGACTTTGTTGCAGGTTTTTACCTCCCTCGTATAACGGTACCTCATCATATTTGTTGGTGGTGGTTTTGCAAATGCGTTCTATAAATGTTCGAAAAGATGAAGAGATGTAGATCGTTTTGAATATGAGTACTAAATGTTACAAATAAATTTGATATCGGGTGAAGGGATAGAGCTGAATTTCTGAATGTTTATATTGAGGTCACTCTTGGTTTCTAAGGTTTACATATGAAAAGATTGAGATTGGTTTGGACAGAAAAATTGGATGTAGGTCCATTGGGCATTAGTTTTACTTATCCTCTGTAAAGTTCAAAATTTGAATATTTTGAAATATTACGCCAGGCTTTTGTCCTTTCATTACTGTCTTTATTATATCCGCCGCCATACAATAAAAGGTATATTGAGCTTATTTATTTTTTATGTTCAGCATTATATTCTATGTCTATCCGTTCGTGAAAATCACTCTAGCTTCCGAACGAAATTAAGATGGTGGATAAATTTTCACCCATTACTTTCCATAGAATTTTTGCTATTGTGAATGACAAAAGTCTTATTTTCCACCGAATGAGGACAGAAAACGTCCTTGCAAAATACAGGTCATATAGATGCAAGTTGTTGTATAGACAGCATATAACGGTACCTTTCGTTATTCGGTTTTTTGACGGTTTTAGACATCTTTTTTTGGAAGTTTTTCAAAGTTGGTATTTGGAGTTCGCATAGGTATTTTTTTCTCTGGAGTACACTTTTCTATGCAGGACTACGTTTCCATATGGCCCCATAAAAGAGTAACCACCGATATTCGAAATTTGAGTGACTTTAGACATATTTTACAGGGTGAGATAAAAAAAAACTGCCACAAAGTCAAACGCCAAAATTTTTAAATTTTCTTTTTTTACAAAAAAATTATTGAATGAAAGCAAAAAATGTCGGAAATAGCATCAAGTTTTAGAATAAGCTTAGATTTGTTGGGAATTGGCGAATATGGCCTTCAAACGGCCAATAAAACCGTCACACGCTGCCCGAATGTTGCTCTGCGGTATTTTGGCTCATTCCCGGCGAAGCGCTTGCTTGAGGTGATCGACACTTTGGCATTTTTTAGTCCCAAACTTGTTTTCCAAAATACCCCAGACACAATAGTCCAAAGGATTCGTATCCGGAAATTTTGGTGGCCATTGTGCGCTGGAAATGAAGTGAGGAACCTAATTTTGTAACCATTCTTGGGTGGCGCGTGCTGAGTGCGATGGTGCTGAGTCCTGTTGGAATGTGCAAGGTCTGCGGCCAAAATGTTTGCGTGCCCAAGGCTTTAATACACCCTCCAGAATATTTTCGCGATAATATTTGGCATTTATTCTGATGCCACGGTCGATAATTACGAGCGGAGAGCGACCATCGGCTGTTATGGCGACCCACACCATCACCATGGGCGGCGCTTGAGTTCTGGTGGCCAATCGAAGGTGCACATTTTCAGCTGACCTCTTTGGCAAGTAAATAGAACATTTTGTTTGTTTACAAACTGCTCTTTCTGACTCAAATGGTGGTAGTCTTGGTGTGTACCTTTCAGCACCCGTCGTACTATTCTCGTATGAATTTCCAAAAACTCGCCCGTATGTCATCCTTATACATCAACGGTGATCCACATGCAAAATTCAAGTCTATACCGCGATCGGTGTAATTAATACCATGACACTACTTATGAGTACTTTTTGGTGCTTTTGGTACTCCCTTAGTTCGTATTCTCAAAAATGCTGAGGTATTGGATTACGAGATCGACGCATTCTAAATTTTTTTGAGCGCAAGGAAGTTCCCAATAATTGTACACCACCATTAGCGATGTCTAATTTGATGTACCTTCAATCATTCTACTGTTTTTAGAGCTCCGGATCCTAATATATAATAATATTTGAAAAACGTATGTGTTTTTTTTTTTTTAAATTTTTAATATTTTATTTTTTCTAAAATGAAAACAAAATTTATTTACTTAAATCTAAACAGTTTCACAGTTTCAAACGATTTACTTCTTCTTGTAAATGTAGCCACCGTTGGCAGCATATTGAGTACCAGTGGCAGCTGGAGCAGAGTAGGTAGTCTGGACAGCTGGGGCAGAGTAGGTGGTCTGGACAGCTGGGGCAGAGTAGCTAGTTTGGACAGCTGGGGCAGAGTAGGTGGTCTGGACAGCTGGGGCAGAGTAGGTAACGGCAGGGGCAGAGTAGCTCACGGATGGAGCATAGTTGGTAGCTGGAGCCGAGTAGCTAGCAGAGGGAGCAGAGTAGCTTACGGAAGGAGCAGAGTAGCTCACAGAAGGAGCAGAGTAGCTGACGGAGGGAGCAGAGTAGCTGATGGAGGGAGCAGAATAGCTAACGCTGGGAGCGGAGTAGGTTTGTTGGACAGCTGGGGCAGAGTAGCTAACACTGGGAGGAGAGTAGGCTTGTTGGACAGATGGGGCAGAGTAGCTTACACTGGGAGCAGAGTAGGTTTGTTGGACAGCTGGGGCAGAGTAGGTTTGTTGGACAGAGTAAGTTTGTTGGACAGCTGGAACAGAGTAGGATTGTTGAACAGTTTGTTGTTGAACAGGAGGCAAATATTCAGTGACGGGGGCAGGAGCAGAGTATTCGGCTTGAACTGGAGCATTGTAGCTCTGTTGGAAAGTGGCAACTGGAACGGAATAGCTGGTCTCAACGCTGGTCTGTTGGGGTGGCAAATATTTCTTGGACAAGTGGCTGACATCGGCGGCAGCTACGGCCAAAAGAGCGAAAGCAATGAAGAATTTCTGCAAAGTTTAAAAACACAATTAGACATTTGAAAGCCATTTTTTAAAGCATAACTTTAGGCACTGATATTTTTTCGAAACTTAAATCGTTTTTGCAAATGTTTCACACTTTTAAAATTCTGCAATCGCTTTGGTAAATAGATTTTTTTTTTTTTCACTTTTTAATTTTAATTTTGGTTTTTTTATTTTAATCCAACTAACCATTTTGTTATGTGATGTCGTTCTTAAACTTCAGTGGAGGTACTTTACAGTTGGAAGTAAACGCTGAAACTGATGCTGTTAGTGACCATCAGCGATTAATTTATACTAAAACATCGATTTGTTTGTACAACATAGTTTCTGCAGTTGTCTAAACATCTGAACTGAGCAAAGAGTCGCAACGGTGACGACGGGCGACACAAGGCGTTTCATAATTCTTTGTGTGATTTTTTTATGTCCAAAAATCTCATAAATTTGATGGCTATTTGCCTACAGAAACCCCGGTGCTATAGTTTAAGTAAATGTTTTACAACAACGGCAACAACGATCACAGTATGCCAATACAAATGTTAAAAATCTTCATTGACAGCATCTGCCTACCTAATTAGCCCCTCTGCCAAAAACGTCAGTCAATACGAGTGACAGCCATTATCGATGATGACGATGATGGACAAGAAATAAGCCTAAAACTCGTTTCATTCATTTACATCTTCATTCGCCCGATTTAGGGTGTGAATTTTATGGTTTACAAGCATATTGTTGTTTTGTAGAATTCCGAGGCCTTCCTCGACGAAAGACAATTTTTGTATATCCCATTGCATAAAGGTTGATTCTTTTGTCTTTGTATGTAGTTCACATCTCTTCAAATGGTGATACTCCGAAAATGTAAATTTATGGCTATTCAAATTAACAAAAGACTTAAGACACAAACTTTGATCTGATTGGCAAACGTATTCACCATAAATCGGTTAAGCATAAATTTGCCGTATATCACAGCATTGACACAATAAAGTTGGATATTTTCGATTTAGTTCAGAGTGTGGTGCGTTTCAGTTAAGACCATATTTTTTCTTGTAGGAGCCACAGCAAAACAGCCGGCATAATTCTTTTAATTTGACAAGTTTGATATCGATAGTCGGTTAACCAGGAGAAAAAATATATATCACCTATTTAAAGGTCTATTTACAGAGGATATATAATAGTTTGCTTCAGTAAAAATATTCCTCATTGTTTCTAGATATTTAGAGTCAATGTCGGTCAACTTGGCCTATTTTAACCATAACTATCGAATAGATTATCCGGTTTAATTTAAACTGTGCAAGTTGCATTGCCATCGAAATTAAAAAGAATTCTAATATGGCCAATATTGACATATTCTTCCTGTGTAAAAATTAAGAAAAGGAAACCTAAAATCCCATATTAAAACAAGTAAACAAAGGCTATAGCCGTGCGGGACCGACCATGTGATACCCTACAACACTATAATATATTAGAAGCCTCTTTATGTCCAACTCAATTTGGAAGATTTTGTTTTGAAGTGATGTCAAAGAGCCCTGCCCAAATGATACCCTTAGCTTCTTGACTGGTTAGACTTCTTCCCCGTCCTTAACTCTCTTCTCATATAAAATTCCGTGGCGATTGGTTTTCAATTATGACCTGTAGAGAGACTGAGTAATTAGGAAAATTTTAATTTATTTAAAAGCAATGGGCTTTAATTCTGACCCTAACCCTATCCCATAAAAAGTTTTGTGATAATCGGACAGTAATTACGACATGTAAATAATACCCTCAATACATAGTGTTGCGAGGCGTATTTGTTATACCCTCCACCATAGTATGGTAAATTAAGTTTGTCATTCCGTTTGTAACACCTCGAAATATACATTCTAGACCCCACAAAGTATATATATTCTTGATCAGCATAAAATTCTATGTCTATGTCTTTAGCGACGCCGTCCGTCTGTGGAAATCACTCTAGCTTCCGAAAGAATTGAAGTAGATTGATAAAATTGTACTCAAATGTATATTATGTCTGCAGGACTTTTGGTATTGAAAATGGGCCATGTAGGTTCACGTTTTGGTATAGCCCCCATATAACGGTACCTCCGTATATTCGGTATTTTGATGATTTTTGCGACAATATTCATCGGAATTGCTTCAAATTTTGAATTTGAAGTTTGAAATGAATACTACAGCCTATGACAGAAACTTGTCTGTGCAGGTCCACGTCTTCGTATAGCCCCCATATAAGCGTACCACCCGATATTGGGTATTTTGATGATTTTAGCTACATTATTCACTATTTTTTTTTTTTATTTTTTTTTAAGTTTCGAATTTGAATATTGTAATGGCTTATGACAGAAGTTACCTATGCAGGTCCATGTCGTCGTATAGACCCTAATGTAACAGCTACATTTGGTATGTTTAAGATTTTAAGAGAAAGTTTAACTGATTTTATTGTTTTTGAGATTTGCCAAATTCGTTCCAAATGGTGGAGAGTATTCAAAGTTCAGCCCGGCCGAACTTACAGTTTTTTTACTTGCTAATACCTTACAACACTATGTGTTAGGTTAGGGTTAGAGTAGAAGCCTATTGTTTTTTGAGATAATCGAAAAATATGTTGGGTATGAAGTGGACCAAAAGCAGAACAATTTCCTTATTTTGCATTGGATCGCAATTATAGACTAATCGACGCGGAATTTATCACGAGGGTAGACTTTAGGGCTGGACAGAAGCCTATCAATTTGTTTGGTCATCATACAATATTTAGTGGGTAAAATATGCCATAACTTTTATATGAAATATACGAAAATTTTCAATTAAGCGAAGTCACAAATATTTTTAAAGGTCACTTCTGACCATTACGGGTGATGCTGTTAGCCAAGTTATATAGCAAAATGGGTACAATGCATATGTAAAATATATTTATGTTATTAATTCCGCTTATAAGTCAAGAATCGCTGGACTGTTTTTGACAATTTTCACCAATGCAAAATGGACTCTTGTCGGAAAAGGATGAAATTTAAGAAATTTTCACTTTGACTTACAATTTTTAATTGTACACTACGCATTGAGGGTATTATATACCGCAATTATCGTTCGATTCTCACGAAATTTAGCATGTGGAATGGGTTAGGGACTGAATTAAAGATATGAAGATGTATATTTAGGGGTTCAAGTGGACCAAATGAATTTTAAAGATTTTGAAGTCGCTCCACATGTCACAATTGAAACCCAATCGACACGGAAATTCGCATGAGAAGAGAGTTAAGGACAGAGAAGAAGTCTAGCATTGACCATTGGATAAATTTTAGCTGTAAAATGGACACAAATTTCGAAATTGAGCAAATGCCCCGGTCAAAAACTAAAGGTAACATCTCTGCAGGGTTCAATAACAAAAATGAAATCTTCCAAAATCGGAACATAAGACATAAGGGTGCTTCCCACAAATTGTAGTGTTGTAGGGTATCACAAGGTCGGCCCGCACGTCTATAGCTTTTGTTATTTGTTTTTATTTTTTAATAACATGTGAAATAATTTGCATATTTTCTTTAAATTTTACACAAACCTTATGCCTTTATATTGTAATCGATCGTAGACTCCGATTCGATATTGTGTAATTTATAATCTTTCAAAATTTGACGAGGATGAACTTGGAAAACATTACAGATAGAGAAACACTGGAAAAATGACAAGTAGAGAGACACTTCAGAAATATGGTAGATCAAATTTCAACGTGACTTTCCGAACAAATGAAATTTTGTGAAATAGTTCAAAACCCCAAAAGGGTTTTGTGGTCTTATGTCAAAATTTTTAAGGGCTTATAAAGTCTTGACCATATACAAAGTGACCCCTAAATTTAAGTTCATATGTCGATATGTAGGATAGAGCTTAGATGGTTTATAGAAAGCTTTGTATTGCTTCCAGAATAATTGGTTTCATACACCGACAAAGATATTACGTAGCAATTGGTAGCAATGGACATTTCGAAGACTTTTTTTTGGAAATCTCATTTTCGATGTAAACTTACAAAACGTAGCTTAACGTGACTTCTATTTTTGTTAAGAGGTTTTTTTGTAATTATTATTGTTTTTTTATTTAACAGGGTTGGTTTTACTTCAAGCGCTACATACATGATTTATTTAATTATTTTTGTTGTCAAAATATTATTCACATATAGGTGAAGTGGCCCGATATATAACATTTTGATACTAGATGGAATATTAAAAATACTTTTGCTAAATTATATATATATAATTTTTACATTTTTTTTTAATTTCATTGAATGAAGGCAAAAAATGTCGGAAATCGCATCAAATTTTAGAATAAGTTTAGATTTGTTCGATATGGTCACCTTTGGCACGAATAATGGCCATGAAACCGTCACACCATACTCGAATGTTGCTCTGCGGTATTTTGGCCCATTCCCGGCAAAGCGCTTGCTTGAGGTGATCGACACTGTGATATTTTTTAGTGCCAACTTTGCTTTCCGAAATACTCCAGACACAATAGTCCAACGGATTGGTATCCGGAGATTTTGGTGGCAATTATGCTTTAATACACCTTGTAGAATATTTTCGAGATAATATTTGGTATTTATTCTAATTATGAGCAGAGAGCGACCATCGTCTGTTATGGCGACCCACACCATCACCATGGCTGGCGCTTGAGTTCTGGTGGCCAACCGAAGGTTCACATTTTCAGCTGACCTCTTTGGTAAGTAAACACGACCATTTTGTTTGTTTACAAACTGCTGGACAACGAATGTTTTCTCACCGGAGAAAAACAAATTCGTCGGTTCACCACTTTCGGCCCAGCGAAGCAACTCTTTAGCTCTTTTGAGTCTATTTTCTTTCTGTTGCGATGAAAGTTCTTGCACTTTTTGGAACTTCAATGACTAGGGGTACATTTTTCAATATTTGCCGAATGGATTATTACGATATGTTCAGCTTACGAGCCATTTTTTGTCCACTGCGACGGGGGTTTCGATCAAGTCGCTTCTATAATTTTCGAACCATTTTTGCTGATGTTGCTGTTTTCTTCCGTCCACTTCCTTGACGTCGGGCTACGCTACCAGTATCACGGTAACGAGCGATAGTACGAAACACAAAAGATTTATTCACATTTAAAAGCTGAAGTGCTCTAACGATAGCCATTAGTGGTTTTCCAGCCAAATATAAAGAAATCACACTATCACGCTTGAATTCCATGACGAATAACTTTTTTTCTAGAAAATTCTCACCAAAATGCTTTTGTACGCTTGTAAACAATATAATGAGCTGTCACTGGAATAATTTTAATAGCTGTCG